CGTCAGGTAAGTGATATTTAATTTAATCATATTAATCAAAATTTGTTATTTTTTATTATTGTTTTTAATTTTTTATAAAAAAATTGTACACGTTACAAGTTATTCGTATACAATTTTTAACTTTACCTACTCAAAATTTAAGTAATCAGTCCCAAATCTGAATAAAGGAGGATGATTTATATTTTATCTATTTTTTAAAAAAAAATCACAAGCTCGCGAGCCGAAACTAAGCTCGGCCCACAAGCTTGCCCTTAGATTATGCTCTACTCGTGAGAGCTCATGGGTATAAGGACCGAGCCGCTCGGCTCATTGCCACCCCTACATGTCTATCACAAAACCAGTAATGCTACTCAAATAGGGATTGCAAATTGGAGCTTTGATAGGTGCTAAGTTGTCAGCACTTGTGTGGGTAACTTCTTCCTTTTTTTTCCCCTAAATATGCAAATTGTTCAATGATGATGTGCCACATATTTCTCGATTTTTTAAACCTTATCGTTGAGCATGTTTGTGTAGCATGATTGATTACAAAACATTTTTCAAGTGTGAAGTGATTCTCTTCAACCTCAACTTCTCATGCACCGAAATTGGTTTCGAGCAAGTAGATATACTACAACAATCTACTCATAAAATAGAACTGTAACGACCCGAATTTTTATAATTTAAGTCATTACTCAAAAGTTTCTTAAAAAAAATGGTCAATTTTATTTTCATCCACATATTTTATATAATTTGCCAATTTTAACTACTAACTCCCACATTCTTTGAAATCCAATTTACTATAAGTAGATAATTGTATTTTAGCGTGTTTAACAACTAACTAAACAGTAAATTTTAAAAAAAAAATATGTGCCAAGGGCATTTATACCACTACATCAAACAATTAAATTCAAACTTCTAATCAAAAGTGCAATCTAAACATATCCGCATACAAATAAACAAGTACGAAAATTTAACTTCAAATAAATGTTTATCACAAGTAAACTTTAAAAAAAAAATTATGTGCTAAATTTTAGATTTTCGTCTAGCGAAATGAGCACAACCACCCAATCAAACTGCCACGCTCCGACATGACTCGGACTAACCTGTGAGATAGGGAAAAATGGCCAGTCTGGAAAGTACTCAACGAAATATGAATACTAGTCCAATCTCAAATAACATTTATCATTCATATATCAAAATAAATCGCACCATCATATCATATCTTTATAACCGATAAGAGTTCATATAATATTATATCATTTGTACCGAATGGACATATATATCATATTGTATCATATCATTAACAAAATATTTTATCAATCTAAAATAACAAAAATAGAACTGGACAAAACCACCTATACGTCGTTATCCTACATTATAACTTTCAAATGCGTTTCAACCAAAGGAAAGATGCTAAGATAATATATGTACTTTAAATGGTACTAAACAATTTTTTCTTATCATGATACACCAAAAATATAGAAAAGAAAATGAGTAATAAAACATGGGAAGACAAGTTATGAAATGTTAAAATGAAAGAAATCGTAAGTGATGTGAGATAAATAAGGAAACTGATGAAATCTTTCTTATTGATTGGATAAATGGGGAAAATTGAATAACAAGTGGGCACGTGAAAATTTTGTTTAGAGGTAGTTAATTTGAGTGAAAGAGAAAGATACTCAAAAATGAAAAGGTGTGAAAATATTAACAAATATTTATAACTATGCCTATATCTCTTAATCTATATCTATCCATATATGCATACAAAATTTATATTTAATAAAAACCAATTAACAACTTATCAACACGTGTCACTCTTAAATTTTATATTAATTAATTAACTTAACTAAATTACAATTTAAGACAATATCTTTTTACCTCAATAACTTGGGTTCCGCTTATTTAAATAAATTTTTCTCAAACCTAATATGTACAATTAATTATGATCTATCCGACTAACCCATTATTCATATACTTACCATTCCTCCATCAATATCTAATCCAGATAAAATTTAGCATATAAAATAATCAATCCTATTCTATGAAAATTTTCAGGACTATAAAAAGAACAATTTCAGCTAAAGAAACCCCAAATTCCACTAATGGATCCCGCTTAAATATTCTTCCAAAGTTACTCAAAACCAAGATAACTAATTTCCAATAATAACGATAATAAAGTTGCGAGTGTGGTGATTTTAGATATCCAACTTTGAGTATTGTCAAGGACAACTTGAAGGGTATACAGTGATAGGAATATAGAAGTGTTGTATTGTTAATTTTACACAACACAATGATACTTTGTGGTGGCAAATATTTGATTTTAAAGGACAAAACATAGATTTGTAGTCATTGAAATGAATAATACAAAAAAAATTGCAAACCTATAGTGGTGATGTCGATTGAAGATAAAAATATGATTCAAATTTATTATATTCACAAAATTTAGGCAAAACATTTTAAAAGAAAGAGAAGTAGATCAATTATAATGACAATAGTCATTGTTAGGATATAAAGTATGACTATTTAACAAAAGGCACAAAGATATGGATTAAAGTTGATTCTAGACGATATCTTTCTCTCGAAGGATTCATATGGTCCTTAGGCTATTCAATACTTGGTTGAAACGATTAAGGACTTAATTCAATTTTTCAAAAGTTGTAAGGGAAGTAGTGTCTCCTGATTTAATGCTTTTTAAACTTTTCGTTCTCTCCTCCTCACGTAAGACTAAAAGCAAGACTATTCATATCACTCGTATATCATATTTAGTATTGATAAAGATGGTTAGGGAATTCAAATCCTATAACTAGGTCTAGACTTTGATGGTGTTTTGAATAAAGAAAAAAGTTAGATAGTGAAATCATCAATTTATGCGAACCTCGACAAACTATTTAGATAAGTAGGGATCAGGAGCATCAAAAGTGACTCAATGAATGAAAAGTTGGGCCAAATCGTTAAGAAATAAAAGTTGAATACCAAAATAGAATAGAAGATAAAGACGAGGGCAAATTTACAAAATAATGGCCTGAAAGTTGGCATCTTAGAAAATTCAGGGTCGTGCAACGTCTTATCCGCCAGAATTGACATTTATCTCTCTCTAATCGTTCGCCCCGTAACCACCATGTGCACGTTAGAGAAGCGCGGTAACCTTTTCATTCTAACCTTAACCGGCGACAACAAAGATGAGCATCGGTTAAATCCGGCTCTCATATCATCCATCCGCTCGGCTTTGGCCGAAGCCAGGTCACAAGCGGTTGCCGGTTCCGTTCTTATCACTGTGGCCCAAGGGAGATTCTTCTCCAACGGATTTGACTTAAGGCACGCTCAATCCGTCGGCGCTAAATCCGGCTCGATTCAAGCATCCCTGGATGAAGTAATCCGGATGGTCAACCTCTTCAAGGGCATCGTCTCCGATTTTTTGACCCTACCCATGCCCACAGTCGCCGCCGTCGGCGGTCACGCCGCTGCTGCCGGATTGATGCTAGCCATGAGCCACGACTATAT